ATCCAGATACGGAATGCCATGGTGACAGCAAATACGACATTCGTAACCCAAGTGGAATAGCCGGCTTCAGCGCACAAAAGCTCTCGCATCGTCTGGGTGGTGACAATGTCAAGAATGGTGTCGGCCCGCGTGCTGATTTCACATGTGAAGATTCATGTTACCGCACCATCATCAACATGCGTGGCACCTCTTTGAATTCTTTGTAAAGGGCGTGCCTTTAATTGTTCCATAAGTCTCATTTTAGTAGTCGCCTTGTTTTTTTTTAAGGCAACGGTTGTATCTCGGCGAAGACTGAAAGAGAATATGGATACAAATGTGTTCGTACAAGAAAATGCATATGCGCATCTCGTCACAGAAATTAGTTGTGTGGTTCTCCTGCTGTGCTCCTCACTCTGGTATTTTCCTGGCATGAACATTCACTAACTCTCAGGGGTCCATGCTGAGGAATTTCTCTGCAGTTGCTACACTAAAAACATTTCAAGTTTAACAAAAAGTCCAAAATGAAAAGTTGAAACTCAAGATCTAAAGTAAAAAAATAAATAAAATAAAAAACGTCAAAAAAAATAGCAACAGAAAAGGCAAAAAAATAAATAAAAAGTAGTAACAATTGAAAAAGTAAAAACTAAAAAGCAACAAATGAAAAAAAAATGTTAAACATCACAACAACAAGTTGAACAGGAACGTGAAATTGAAAGGGAGTGAAAGCGAAAAGTTGAGATAAAAAAATGAAAAACAAAAGAGGGACAAACAAACAGAAAAGGAAAAGTAATCAAAATAAAATGCAAATTATTATTTTTATCTAATAATGGCATTTAAACTGTTCTCACGCTGAGAGATTGGGGTTTTTGGGTTGTTAAAAAAAAACCAAAACAACATTCAAGGAAGCTGGCAGGATAAATGCTTCTATGAAGATGATGGAAAGCTGTCAAAAGATGATTACCGTGTGAAAAAGATGAAAAATGAAAGACTGAAAAACAAAAAACTGAAAGCCATCCATCCATTATCTGAGCCCTTATCCTCACGAGGGTCGCGGGTGTGCTGGAGCCTATCCCAGCTGTCTTCGGGCAGTAGGCGGTTTACACACTGAACTGGTCGCCAGCCAATCACGGGGCACACATAGACCGACAACCATTCCCGCTCACACTCGCACTGAGGGACAATTTGGAGTCTTCCATTAGCCCGCCACGCCCATTTTTGGAATGTGGGAGGAAACCGCGAGAAAAGCCAAGCAGGCAAACGCCACACAGAAAGGCGGGGGCCCGGAATCGAATACACGACCGCTGCATTGTCAAACACTGTGCCGCCAAACTGAAACATATAAAGGTGAAAAACGTAAAGCCAAAGTAAAGGAAAGTTAAAAGCACAAAAAAAATGTGAAAATTCAAAAAGGCCAAAGTAAAAAAAAAAAAAAAAAAGATGTAATGAAAAAGATCAAAGAAACGCACAAAATGTAAAAAAGTGAACACTTCAGGTGAAACACAACAAAAAAAGAACATTTTTAAATACTGAGAAAAAACCCCCGCCAATTTAAAAAGGGAAAAAAAATCTGAAAAACTCTGAAAATATATATATGAACAAAAATATCGGAAACAGAGTTTAAAAAGACCAAATGTCAAAGGTTGAAAATAATTTCTCCATCAAACTTTATTTATATTGTGCTTTTACAACCGCTGCAAAAAATGTATACCCTTTGTCAAAAATAAACAAGGAAACAAAAGTGCAAAGTAAAAAAGCTGAAATTAAGGCAATTTCCCGGCAACAATGCCCCTCCCCACCCCTGACTTCCTTCCTACCTGATGAAGTGAATGCTAATTTCCCTCTAATTGTCACATTTAACCAAGAGTACAGTTGGTTCTGATTACCTGCCGAATGTCGGCCACACCTGAGCACAAACTAATGACAACGCTGTCTTTTCACTGCACCTTTTGTCTGGCACTAGGGTCAAACCTCCATGGCGTTCTTTAACCAATTACCCAAATTTCTCTTGTATTCCGTTTCACTGGGCCAAATGTGACGGTGCAACTGTTGATTTCACGGAATATGGTGATGGGGTGTTCTGGTCCCCATTGTGTCGGCAGTTCTTGCTTTCCTCATGATGCAGCTGATTGAGATTTTTGGGAGGGGTTTTCATCACATGGAGGATGAGGACAAATTGCAAAGTGATGAATAGCAAATCACCATGTAATTGATGATTTACTAAATTACACGTGTGACAAAAAGACGCCGTCAAGCCACATTCTTGGTATGGTAAAATTAGGGCGTCGTGAGCGGAGTTATTACATTGGCCCATTTCTGCCCGGAGGGGGCATCTGTGAATTATTTTGAGGGCGGGGCCTTTGTCTCACGGTGAGAAAGAGTGAATGCTCATTGATTGTGCTCAACAAGTTCTATAGTAGAACCACAATAAGTGAAAATCTGTGATTATAGAAAGAAACCATGTAAAAAAACATTTTTTCCCCATGTCTTTTCAGCTACGGGTTTTTGAGACTTTTTTGCTGGTCTACTTATGATAGACATTTACCGTATTTCACATTACTTAATGAAACTGGCTTTGGTAGCTGATTCCCCCCGAAAGACTGGATCGCATTCCAAGAGCCCAAATGGCAGAGTTCTTTAGTCTTTTCAGGCATGACTTGTTCAGCATTTTTTGTGGGTCTATTCATGATAGACACGCTTACCATTTTTTATGTTGCTAAGGAAAATTGGTTTTGAACGCTGAATTTTATAAGATTCTACAAGAGTCAAAATGACTACTTGAGGCATGACCTATTAAGATTTTTTGTGGGTCTACTCATGATATACAAGATATGTTTATTAAATTTCATGTTGCTAAGCAAAACTGGCTTTGGTAGCTGTTTTCCCCGCCCTAAAAATCTAATTGGTAGCACGACAACAGCCAAAATGGCAGATTCTGTGTCTTTTCTGTCATGGCTTCCTCAGCATTTTTTGTGGGTCTACTCATAATAGACATGTGTACCAAATTTCATGGTATAAGTAAAACTGGCTTTGAGGGCTGATTTATTTATTTTGAATGTGAGTGGCGCTAGTGGAGCCAAAATGACTGCTTTGAACCAAAATGTCAGACTTTCTGTTTGTTTTCAGGCATGACCGACAACCAGTCACCTGAGAGAGATTGTCACAATAAGATTGGTTATGATGCCAACATGTAAATTTCTTCAGCTGCAGGACCTGAGGTGAGTTACATCTTTATCTAATGACAGACATAGCTGCCGAAGGTGTGGCCACACATCCTCTTTAAAAAAAAAAATAAAAAAAAGTTTTAATTGCCCTCTTGTAATAAGTACAGCCTTTTGTCATAATAGCTGTGTGCTACATTCAGGCTCATTTGGCGTCATTACACCGCTCCCAATTCCAAAGATGCATAACTGCCTCAGCATATTCAGCATTTCACACATGGGCTTCGACCCCTCCTATATATGTTATTACTTATTTTAATAAGTATTGTCAAATCTAGAAAAGATATACTGTATGTGTAAAAGACATATAAGAGTATATGTAGTGTAGGACATCTGAATGTTGCAAACATTAGGACCCCTGTTGTCATTTTTCTAGAAGGGTCGAAAGACTCGCTTAATTGGTAACACCGCAGACTATTCGTAGCTCTCTCACTACCCCTCTCGTACTTTGGTCTATGTCAGGGAGCTGTTCGGAGTGCCGGATGTGACTCCTGGGCTGTACTTTGTCCAGCATTGTTTTAGTATGTTTGCCTGTGGTTTCGATTGCTTTTTGTAGTGTCGTTCATAGTGTAGTAAGATTTAAATGGGACTTGACAAACAGTGACAGCTCCATCATTGGACTCCACAAGTGGGTTTCCTGGTCTGTAAAAATAAAGATTTGTCACAAAAATACATATATTCAATAATATTAACAATAAATTGGCAACACAGTGGTCTCCTAGTTGGCATGCCCACCTCACAGTGCAGAGGTCATGGGTTTGATTCCAGGCCCCGGCCTGTCTGTGTGGAGTTTTCATGTTCTCCCTGTGCTTGCATGGGTTTTCTCCATGTGCACCTGTTTCCTCCCACATTCCAAAAACATCCATGGTAGTTTGGTTGAACGCTCTAAATTATCCCCACGTGTGACTGTGAGCATGAACGACTGTTTTGTCTGTGTGCCCTGGGATAGGCTCCAGTACGCTCACGACCCTGGTGAGGATAAGCGGCTCAGTTAATGGATGGATGCATAAAAAAATGAAAAAGTTAAAGAAGAGTTGAAAGAGGAAAAAAAGCTAAAATAAGCAAAAAAAATTGGAAATAGAGTAAAAGAAAAGGTCAAAAGTCAAGAAAAAATGAGATCCAAACCAAAAGAGTCAAAAATCTACATTTACTAACGAAATGTGCATGGTTTTAAAGCCATCATTTTCCTAATGGGTTCTATAGAGAAGTTAATTTATTAAATGAAATTACGGGACTGTAGAGAACTACAAAAACATAATAGTCAATGTCATTTATAAAATAACAGTTAAATCCAAAAACAAACAGAAAGAAAATAAAGGGTAACATAAAAAAAGAAAAACAACTTAAAATTATGGAAAGATTCTTAATTTGAAAAAAATGCAAAAAAATATAAAAAGTCAAAATTAATGAAAATACACTGAAAAAAGAACCCACAAAAAGTAAGGAAATAAAAACTACTCTGTAAGAAATGCAAAATAAATAAATAAATTGACATGAAAAAAAGGAAAGTCGAGAGTAAAAAAAATTGTTTATGGGTGACGTTTGACCATCAGTAGCTGGTTCTGTGACGCCAAGCTGTTGTACACGTGATTTCCACTAGATGGCGTGAAAGCCACGAATTAAATGCAACCTTAGCCATACTTGAAACATAATGTGACTTTATATCCGTACCAACCTCAACTAAATCAAGTGTTGTATTTCATACACGCGAATTTAATTCTATAATAATTTCTTTTAACAAATATAATTGTCTTCTGTACATCCTCATAAAATGTAGTTTGCAAACCACGTGATCACATACCGCTATTTTAATTTGACCTGAAAACCTCACAGTGAGCGTCCAGCTTCTAGCCAATCACGGAGTTGGCGCTCGCACAGTGAAATTTGCATGACATTGTCCATAAGACTACTGGCTCCTCCGTTTCGTCCTCATTCGACCCCAACATGCCCGAGCCAGCCAAGTCCGCCCCTAAGAAGGGCTCAAAGAAAGCCGTCACCAAATCCACTGGAAAGCCCAACAAGAGGAGAAAGAAGGGAAGGAAAGAGAGCTACGCTATCTACGTGTACAAGGTGCTGAAGCAGGTGCACCCCGACACCGGAATCTCATCCAAGGCCATGAGCATCATGAACTCGTTCGTCAACGACGTCTTCGAGCGAATCGCCTCCGAGGCTTCCCGCCTCGCTCACTACAACAAACGTTCGACCATCTCATCTCGGGAGATACAGACCGCCGTGCGGCTCCTTCTACCGGGTGAACTGGCCAAACACGCCGTGTCTGAAGGCACAAAGGCGGTTACCAAGTACACCAGCTCCAAGTAGCTTATCCCGGTATCAACGTATCCCAAAGGCTCTTTTAAGAGCCAGCCAAACCCTCAAGAGTCAGTCTTCCTAGCCACTATTGATGAAAGCTGTACGTTACAATTATACAAGCGATTTCTTAAATTTTGTAGGCAAATGTTATCCTCAAACCGGTGTCCTCTCCATATCCGAAGTTTCCTTTTTTTTCCTAAACTAATGCTTAAATTAATACTCATATCACCAAAGTAAAAAATGTTCTCTTAGAATGAGTTTAGTGGCCCTTAAAAGGGCCTTTGGGTTGGATCACCAATGGACTGTTTAAGTGTTTAACCGCCGAAGCCGTAGAGAGTGCGCCCTTGTCTCTTGAGAGCGTACACCACATCCATGGCAGTCACGGTCTTCCTTTTCGCGTGCTCGGTGTAGGTGACGGCGTCACGTATGACGTTCTCCAGGAAAACTTTGAGCACACCGCGCGTCTCCTCGTAGATGAGTCCGGAGATTCGCTTGACCCCACCGCGGCGAGCCAGACGGCGGATGGCGGGCTTGGTGATGCCCTGGATGTTGTCACGGAGAACTTTGCGGTGACGCTTCGCCCCTCCTTTCCCGAGACCTTTGCCTCCCTTTCCTCTGCCAGACATTTTGCTTTCGTCGCTCAAAACAATCAATGTTAACACTTGGTTTTGGCGAAGTGGACTTTGTATTGCAGGACTGCGGACCTGAGAGAGGACAGTGAACAATTTATATAGGTGGGAGGGGGAGGACCATCACTCCGCAGCCCTTCCCCCGCCACTTCAGTAAGCACACTACTTCCTTACTTGAACATTCATATTAGAATACATTAGAACATTAGACGTCACATTAGAACCAGTTGTACTTTTCATTTTTTTATGAGGGCATGGTAAAAGTTGATCAACACTGTTTATCCTTGGTGATAGCTGCTCGGTGATGTCGGTGATTGGCAATCTGAAGCGGGAAAACGGTTGACCAATCAGCAAAGAGATGGTTACACCGTGCTCTGATTTTGGTTGTTGCACATTTTACTACTCGTGTATGCTTTCAAAGGAGAGTCGTCAGCGTTGATGTGATCGTTCGAATTTCTCTTTGAGGGATTATAATGAGGATTCTACTTTTTAAAATAATTTACACAAGAGTAGTCTGGAGCTTTGATTCATAACATTCCGATAGATATTTGAAATACTTGTGAATATGCTATGCCAATTTTCAGTTCGGGTGGGGGGGGGGTCACATACAGCAGCAAAGTTTGATATCAAATATACTGAATCAGCAAAATAATAGGATAATTAATAAATAAAAAGCAAGATGCTGGCAAGTGTATGGTCACTAAGATGCTAAGTTCAGCCTATTCAGCCTTGAACATGGATATACAGAAGTTACACGTGTTTAATTTTTTTCTTCCTCTGAAAGTTAAGCTGTCCCCAATTGTATCATTTCCAGCACTTTATTTGCTTTTTAATTTAAGTATTGTCCTCTTTCAGTAAAGTTTCCCCAGAGAGGCTTTGTTTAGTTACAACACTTTATATGGATACAATCCAGTAAACCAGGTCTATATGCTCAGGTTCGGGCTATTAAGTGTTTCATAAAGTTCATGTGGACAAACTTTGTGTTACTAACACACGACTCAACATACAACAGCAAAAGTTCATCACTAAACGTACTAAACGCTTTGTAAATTCAATTGAAGAGCACCAGAAAATATTCAACCTTCACCAAGACGAACAATGCCATGATTTTGTTTGTAGCGTGTTGTGATAAACCTGTTGTGTGGTGTACCTTTCATCTGTCGGAATCAGATGGTGTGTTGTTCGAAATAAGTTGCCACCCCTCCTGTTCTCAATCGAACCTTGATAACTGTGTTCAAAAAAGCTTTGGAAACACAGACATTACATAAAGTGCATTTGAACTGCTTTTAAAAAATGGTGCTGCTCAATTTTTCAACAAATGCATCAGACATCCTTGGATGACACTGCTTCAAAATGGTGCTTCGGCGCCTTTAATCGTTCTGCTAATGTCACGTGACCAATTACGTTCGAGGCATTTGCGTCACAGTTTGACCGTAAATGTTATTTGGTGCCCACTTGAGTAATCACCAAACTATTAAACAGTGTGTACGCTTTAATAACAACCAGTGAAAGGAACGTACTAAATTAGGTCATTTTGATTTTATACCAGAGTAAGGTTGACTTAAAGTGATTTACAGCATCTGAGATACTACGGGCATTCAAATGGAGCCACGAAGTATCTATAATCAATACATCACTTATCTCACCCTGTTCTGGGTAACTTGGATAGGAACGCGAACACAAAGGTGAGGTGTGGGTGGTCCTCAAAAGGACCTTTGACTGTTTAGTATGCTGAGTGAACACTTTAACCGCCGAAGCCATAGAGAGTGCGTCCTTGTCTTTTGAGAGCGTACACCACATCCATCGCAGTAACGGTCTTTCTTTTGGCGTGCTCGGTATATGTGACTGCATCACGGATCACATTCTCCAAGAAGACCTTGAGTACACCGCGGGTCTCCTCGTAGATGAGTCCCGAAATCCGTTTTACTCCGCCACGGCGAGCGAGACGGCGAATGGCGGGCTTGGTAATTCCCTGGATGTTGTCACGAAGGACTTTGCGGTGACGCTTAGCACCTCCTTTTCCGAGACCTTTGCCTCCCTTACCTCTGCCAGACATCGTAGATGTTCTTGATTGATCGCCCTGTAAAGCATCCCGCTTTAGCAGCCCTTTTTATAAATCAAGACTGCGGACCTGAGAGAGGACATCTGACCCAATTCAGCCCGAGTAAACTTAGCAGCCCTCCCCCACCTTGACCGAACTGAAATTGACCTTTCTCAGTAGTGAGTCGCTGATGGCGTAGTGGTACGCTCGCCTGACTTGTGCGTGGGATCGATTCCCACTCAGTGACGATATGAATGAGGGTGTGTATGGTTATTCGTATGCAAACAATCCCCAAGTTAAAAAAAAACAAAACATGCCACTCTGGTCAGACCAAGGTTGGTTTGTTTTTATGAGCCATTCTGGCGAGCTGATCCGGATTTCGGCAAATACATGCATTTGTGCTGGTGGCTGGGCAGATTCCAGGCAGTGGTCTGCTTGCTGCTAAGTCACATGGAAGATGGCACAACACAGGAGGGGAGGAAATCAAAGTATGTCTGCTCCGTGCTAGTATTGATACTGAGTTGGTATCAATAATTACTTATACCAATCCACTCAACACTAAGAACGCCTATGAGTGTCAAGCTCATTTTCATCCCAGGCTGCATACTGCAGTAGTTATGATTTCCCTACAAGGGCCCATACAAAAAAATCAAAAAACTATTTCCACATCTAAAAATTTGCACCTGCATTTCATTGTGGTTACATTTAACAAATGTTAAATCAGAAGTGACGTCAAATTTTAAACGTCTGCAAGGACAGGATTTAGTGGGGAATTAAACACACGAGACTTGTAATTTTGAGATGTTAAAATCTGTACATTGAACAAGAAACGTGTGACTACAGTAGTTTCTTATCCAAATTAGTTGAAATGACGAACTCTTGTAGGGTTCATTTCAGACTCACTAATGTAGGACAACGCATCGTCAGTATGCAATCACATTTTAATGCAAAGTGTAGGAACATAACTCTTTACGGAACATATTGGTGGCTCTGAAAAGAGCCGTTTTATGGCGGTTATAGTTGACGGCTATTACTTTGACTTGGCTGCCTTCTCAGTCTTCTTAGGCAAGAGAACTGCCTGGATGTTTGGCAGCACGCCACCCTGGGCGATGGTGACGCCGCCGAGAAGTTTGTTGAGCTCCTCGTCGTTGCGCACGGCCAACTGCAAGTGTCGTGGGATAATTCTGGTTTTCTTGTTATCGCGAGCAGCGTTGCCAGCCAACTCCAAAATCTCAGCAGTCAAATACTCGAGCACGGCCGCCAAGTAGACGGGAGCACCGGCACCAATACGCTCGCCATAGTTGCCTTTACGGAGTAGCCTGTGGACACGTCCCACTGGGAATTGAAGTCCAGCACGCGAAGAACGAGTCTTCGCCTTCGCTCTGGCTTTGCCACCGGTTTTGCCACGACCAGACATACTCACAGAAGCGGATTGGAGATCAGATTTACAAATATAATTCGACCGACACGCACAAGAGTCCTTATATAGAGGCCATTGCGGCTCAGTGATTGGTCAGCTGAAGCAGGGAATTGGTTGTCCAATCACCAGAGAGGTGTAGCCCTTTTCAAAAGGCTGATGTCATGGTTTATATGGATACTATACGACATTACGTCTTCAACGCCATAAACAATACACACCAGTTCACTTCAAATTATGTTATTGTGATGCCGTTATTTTTAAAACCAAATTGCGTTATACGTGTGACTTTTAAATTCAGTAATATTAAAATTAAAATGAAATGCATGTTTATTTAAAGGGAATGATGCAAACACTATTAACATCGAGTCTGGCTGGCTGCCATTATAATTAAGTTAGCCAACAACATTTCTTATCTTGTAAAAATACAATATTTGTGGTGATTTTGCTAGTTTTGTCTGCCTCTAGGTATGTGGATTTCTGTAACCTCTAGCTTGTAGTATGCATGGGGTTATTTTCATATACTGTAACCTGATAACATCCCAAGTGAATTAAAATTTTAGATCACTTAATTTCACTGACCCAAGTGTGGATAATCAGTAGAGAAACTGGCTGTCTGGATGGAAAATTTCACTGGTCAACAGCAGAATTTAATCGGAGATGGCTTTATGAGTCCCTCAAAGTGATTTTGATGCTGATTTTAAAAACTTTACATACGTTTGTTATTCAAGTTTGACCCTGAAAAGCTTGCACAATACAGATATTATGTGTTGTAATTTATACCACATTAAAAAATCCACCTGCTGCTGAACCTATACTTGAACTAAATACATCGCTAAATATATGCGGGAGAAAAAAAATAAGATAAGAAAACCTTTATTTGTCCCACACTGGGGAATTTTGCAGTCTACAGCAGCAAAATTGGGGGCGAGGGAGAGAAAAAAACCCCAAGTGTTTCATTGCACAAAATAAATTTCATGTAAATAGTAGATATAGTAAATATAATGTAAATGCAAAATTTATTTTTAATTTAGGAACTAACACATGACCAACCATCCAGAAATCCTGTATTTGAGTTCTGGATACAAATACTATCTTAACGGTCTACCTTTTTGTCCCATGCCAAGTGCTAGGATTTCACATTTTTTTCCATTTTGGCTGCAATTTATTAAGTCGGTAGCACAGCAGCCATTTGTTTACACATGAACCAAAAAATGAAATGGGAACGATATTGAATCAACTGCCAAGCTCTGACTGTCCGATTACGTCACTTCTAGGTGACAGCTGTAGTAAAACAGCTTGTATATTTAAACACATTGAAATTGAAACAAGTGATTTCGAAATGTTTAATATTTGTTGTGAAGTCCTAATCATGAGCAACTTATTTTTAAAAGTAAAAATCAAATGAGGCAAAGTTCAATGAAAGGAAGAATTTTATTACATTTTTGTGCAGTTGTTCCTGAGTAATATCTGGGGGGACATTTTTTCTTATCACTGTGCCTTCAAAGAGAAAACAAAAAAAACATTGACAATATGCCTGCGGTGTCGGGCTAGCATTTTATACTTACCAATAAAATGCCCCGGCTTTTAATAGTGCAATAACTTAACGTGAAATATCACAAAATCACGTAAAGGTCATTGGGTGCACACATCCTTAATTCATGTGAAACAGAAAAATTGATGATGCTGTCTCCAAAACCAAAATACAGTATCACACCAATAATTACATTAATCCAAGCTTGGGGCAGGGGCAAAAACGCTTTAAGATCTATTTCAGTATCAGCAATATCATTGTGCAGAAAATAAAAGACACTAATTTGTATTCATAATTGTGACTGACAAATATTTTATATATTCCATTCAAAGTAAGGACAGTAGTTTTTAAATTTTACTTAGCACATTTATATAGTCCCATAGACATTTACAATCGTTGCTAACGGAAATGTTCACTCTTACGCGGAGGTGTGTGTGGCTCTGAAAAGAGCCTTTGGGTTGTATTGAGACTGATGGCGGAGCAGCAGACTATTTTGAACTGGTGTACTTGGTAACGGCCTTGGTGCCTTCGGACACTGCGTGCTTGGCCAGCTCACCAGGCAGAAGAAGGCGCACGGCGGTCTGAATCTCCCTCGAGGTGATGGTTGAACGTTTGTTGTAATGGGCCAGGCGAGAAGCTTCAGAGGCAATTCGCTCGAAGATGTCGTTGACGAAGGAATTCATGATGCTCATAGCCTTGGACGAGATGCCGGTGTCGGGATGGACCTGTTTCAGTACCTTGTACACATAGATGGCATAGCTTTCCTTCCTGGTCCTCTTCCTCTTCTTACCAGGTTTACTGGCAGATTTAGTGACGGCTTTCTTCGAGCCCTTCTTGGGCGCGGTCTTGGCGGGCTCTGGCATAACGGACGGTCAGTGGGTGATCTCCAAATGAATGAGGGTACGGACGTTCATACGGGGTATTTATAGACAAGTGATGCAAATGTGCCTGTGAAATCGCCTTTCGCCGATTGGCTGACACCATCTGCAGCGCTCGCTCGAATGCGTCGTCGGGTTTTCTTTGGTTGAATGCCTGCGGACCTAAAGGAGGATAGGTAATACAATTTGCAGACGAACTCGTTGACCCCTCCGTATGCGTTCGTGAAGCAAAAATCTTCGTTCTATTTTTTAAAAATAAATGTAATCGATATTTCATCGGGTCTTATCGAGAAAATGTAGAGGTTATTGTAACGTTACTATAATAGGATAAAATCACGTCGATTTGATCAAATTATAGTAACGTTCCAAATGTCCGCGTTTTTCCTGCATTGATGTCTTGAACAAGCTGTTACAATAAATGTTTTTTTTTGTTTATTTGTTTTTCGTTGACCCCTCCGTATGCGTTCGTGAAGCAAAAATCTTCGTTCTATTTTTTAAAAATAAATGTAATCGATATTTCATCGGGTGTCATCAAGAAAATGTAGAGGTTATGGTAACATTACGATAATAGGATAAAATCACGTCGATTTGATCAAATTATAGTAACGTTCCAAATGTCCGCGTTTTTCCTGCATTGATGTCTTGAACAACAAGCTGTTACAATAAATGTTGTTTTTTTTTTTTTGTTTATTTGTTAATTACACTTGCCTACAATCGTTTGTAGATCTCAAACACTTTAGTCAGAGAGGAAGGACCCGTCACAGTAGATCAAATATGTACAATGGTTATTTTCGGTAGGCAGATTCCTAACCATGGCTATTGTATCTTTATTTGTCAAATCAAAGGAATGCCCAATGAGCCATTGTTCTGAGGACAAGACAGCATTTATTAATTGACTGTTCCAAATATTAAGGAGGTTTGGGCAGCCATGCAAAGCATCGGATGAAATATGAAGATAAATTACATAACCCTGTGAGACTGAGACAAGTTGCGCCCCCTGTTCCCAAAATTAACAGTTTCAAATGATTATTTGATACTTACTTGTATGAAACTGTTGAATTCCAGATGTGCCATGTCAAGCCATGAGATTACTGTTGACAATAAAACCGAAGTCAAAAAATCTCTGTGTTCTCAGGAGAACTTTGACCAGGTGGTGCTCTTCCAAGGTTTCCCTGATTGTGTTTTGTGTGTTTGTGTGAACCCTTGCTCTGTATATATTTGTTGTATTTATGTTTTGTGTTCAAATAAAGCTCTTTAACAAGCCAAAGGTTGTGAAAATCTTTATTGTGTTATCACTTCACGGTAATGCCAATGCATCGCATGATGTGAGGCTTTTTTAACATCTTGCCTCTGTGATGTTTATCTTTTCTTCCTTGCATTTCTTCACATATTTTATATACATATTAAATTTATACAATATTATGACTGACGCATTCTGAATGTTTTGGTCTTTATTCCAGGATGCTTATTGGGAGGTTGGGCAAAACGCTGGTCCAAAAATGGACATAACGCATCCTCATCTTCTGTCTTACATAATTCTTGTCCATCTTATTATTGATCTCCAGGTATTGGTGTCCATTGGTAAATTTAGGCCAGGTGGCGGGTACGCTCAAGTCTCCATTGTTGGGATCTCTGTGGACATAAAGAAACCATCACAAGCAAATGAACAGGGGACTCGATTAATTGGATTTTTTCATGAACTTTTTTTGTATTTTGGTCACAAGAAGTACCCTGTTTTGGCAAAGTTGGTCCAGTAGGCAATCATATAGCGAGCAAGATCACGGTGGCGAGGCCAGTATCCCAGCGGTGTGGTGAGAGGCTTTCCAAAGACGTACTGCAGGTCATCCGCGTGGTCAGCACCCACCCAGCTCGGATATGGCCTTCCGACGCCGGCCATACGGTTGGGCTCAGAGAAGAGATAGGAGTAGGTGCGACCCGATCTTTTGTGAGAAAAGAAGAGAAAAACAAAATTGTTGTTAAAGTGCATTTAAATTGTAATTTCAACTCAAATTGAAGCCCAAGTAAAATTCACGAACTGTGACAAATTTCTTTCGATGCATCCACAGTGATGACTTGAGATGCGAGAAACGTGATTTACAAGTTTTGTGGAGATACAAGCCATCCTTTGGACGATGCTTTTCCTCTGACTTGCAAGCAAAAAAACGTGCGATGCAATTCACAACATACAGCGGTTTGGAAGATCTCTCTCAAATAAACTCTTAAATAAGAATCTTTGAGATGTATACTGGAACTCCAAGTTTAAGTTTACTGTCAAACAAAACATAAACTAAACACAAAGACAATTACACTTTGTGCATTTAAAAAAAAAAGAAACCCACAAAGCTTTGCCTTAATAAAGTCCATTTAGCTTCATGCTAACAAACAAAGCAAAACGCAAGTGCTAACTAAAAGCATTGGTGTCGCTATGTTGCAACCCGTTAAGCAATGGATATTTGAACACAAACAGTGGAGCAACACATAGACAGACAATGTGGCAACGCTGTAAGGCATATATTCTTTATCCTTCGCAAAAAATGACTTATATTACGGATGCATGTGGATTCGCTTGTGAATTAGTCTGTGTTATGCCTTTTGTATGTATTATACTGCCACCAGGTAGCCAAGGTGTGCACAACAGAAGGAGCAACACAATGTCTGTGGAACTGAAGCAAAAAAGGTGGCAAAAATTATTTCATTCTTTACATTCTATTTAATTACGTAATTATGCTATGTTTTATAAGGTACAATATTATGGAGTAATATTTTTCTTTTTAAAATGTACAATCCAATTTTTTTTCCTTCAGTGGGAATGAATTGTAAAGACGTCAAATATAATGGACAATAACAGGTGAAAAGCAAAACCGTATGCTCACTTGGCATTAGCAGCATGAAGGTAAAGGGCAGCCTGTGTAGGAACCAAGAAGATGTAATCTGTTCCAATATCCACAATTGTTCTCTTAATGTCCTCCTTGCTGGGATTGGATGCCCATGTTGAAGTGTACGTGGAGTATGCTTCATCCAGACCGGCCTTGCCCTTTTCTCGAGTATATGAAGCCAGCAGCCGCTTCATGTCCTCACTGGCAATAGGAGGGTGCAAGAAGAAAAGTCAGATTAGACAATGTGATGTCAATTAAAGCAAAAACACTAAAAAAACAAAAACAAACAAAAAAAAAAACCTGACAGAGGTCCTGAAATACGTGGACAGTGACAGAATTTGGATGCTCTATACCCCACCATCATGGATTTGAAATAGAAGTGTCGACAATAAAAAGGCGATTTACCACAAGGGAATGACATCCATTTCGGCAGTTAATGTTGAAAATGTTGCCAGCCAATTACTTTCTAAATGAGCAGCCCCTCGACAAATACTTCACGACCTCACTGTATATTCCGATAACTGCAGCAAATCCTTACATGGGCGTGTCTACAAGGTGGGAGTTGATTGAAGGGACGTCGAATGCAGTGAAAATATGTCCATCCATGTCATTGACTCCTGCAATGTAGTCGATATCAGCGGCATTGTGGAACAACTTGGAAGGTGCATCGGGCAGGAAATCCCCATCAATTACAGCTGACAGGACCAAGTTGTTTACGAGGGGGGCTGAAGGAAAGAGAAACACTTTAGACACTTTTCCTTCAAAGTATATGTAGCTACATGTAACTTTTCAACTTTAAATTAAAATACACAGTGTACAGTATCAGAATATTATTTCTGATCGTTGATTCAAATTCTTTCGAAAACAATGTTCTTTTTTTTTCAGCATTGAAATAATCAGATTCATTCCTTTCATGGCCCAATTCAATGACTTGCTTATGATTGATTGACTGATTTTGACCGGTTTGTGTTCTTTGGCTTTGCCGCAAGAGTGGAATGCACCTCAAAATACACGGCGACGCCACTGGGATTTGGCAACTGGCCTTGAGGCCGTGATTAACCAACCAGTTAGAAAATGTGCACTTTAATTCAGCCTTTCATGCATCCTGTAACCTGATAACATGATAAGATGTCCACTGTAGTAACCGCTGTCCCTGAAAGGGTTAATTGTGGTGCTAAACTCTTGTGACCTTAACTAACCTCTGTGGCAGCATAAAATAAATAAATAAATAAATAAAATTCAAGGAATGCCCAAAGCCAGCAAACCGAAGGCTCTTGAAATTAGAAGTGTGTGTTGGCATTTGACCCAGCATGACTCAGATTTGTTCTAGGTTTTACTGTTCGGTGCTTTCTACCGTCTTTGTTTCCGATTTGTTGTTTTACTGTTGTATATATTAGTTGCTCTATGTACAGCACTTTGTATGCAGCGATGGCTGTTTAAAAGTGCTCTATAAATGCAGTTGAGTTGAGTTGAGTTAAGTGTGTTTGGTGACTTTAGGAATAAAATAACTTTGGATTGAATTCTGCTTGCTCGTTTATCCACTTATCAAGTAAGGCAGAATATGGCCACTCAGAGTGAACCGGCAGTAAGTGATGTGAGCTGGATTCTTTACCATCTGGTGAGCCAGACAAATTGAGAGGGCCAGCTTTTGTGAGGAGCACGGGATCGGTCATCTTCAAACAGGCGGCCATTCGGTCATCAGTGGGACAGTTGACCTTAAGAGCAACCTGAGGAGAGCGGCAAAAATCATTCTGTCACTGTTTTACAGCCAGAAAAATAAAAATAACAGAAAGGAGTTACGCTGTGAAGCACAGAAGAGTCAGAGAAATGTTATTTGTACCTCCTCTGCGATCTTGCGGGGGTTTTTGATGATCCCCCAGGGGCAAAGAGCAACACCACTCTGGGAGATGGCTCTCTTGATGAGGCCTTTGTTGTGGGGAGTGAGGGTCTGTGAATGGACACATGTCAAAATTATGACTTTCAGTGTATTCTTTTCGGTGTAGGAATCCACATGACGAGTGATGAATGTTATTGGGTTGCTTGGTGATGATGTGCTGCCTCCGTGAGTGGAAAATACGATGCGGTCCATCACAGGAGTGGAGGGCGGGGTTTGTACTGGCTCATTTGCATGTGACTGGACCGCCATTATTTCAATTGAGCTTTTTAAAAAAAGTGCTGTGGAATTCGTCGTCCTTGGGGTATTTTGATGAAAGTTCACACACTAAGACACCTGGGAACGGTTTTAATTGAAAAATTCTCCTGTAATATGGGAATTATGCTACAGTAAAAGGCAGACAACGCTGCATTGATACAATAAATGAGAGGTGAATGAGTGTTATTGAGAAAAAAATAATAAGATCAAGAATTAAACTATTCTCGAAGGGAGATTAATGCTGCATTTCATGAATAATTAACCAACTTTGTCTTATAAATCGGAACCACAATTACTGCATATTCAGTCACCATAAATGTAAAGTTTAAAGGTGTGTGTTGCTTTGTAGCAGATTTAGTACTGCCGCGTACTGTGCCTGAAAAAAAAAATTCAATATAAAATAAAAACTGTTCAAGTTAAATGGCCCAAAATTTACTACAATATGAAATTTTAAACTTCCCATTTTGTGTTACATTTTTCAAATGTTTACTCTATACTGACAAATATTTCCACTTTTGCTAGTTAGTAGTTGAGAATTACTGGATGCATTTGTTCATGAAAAGATGCGAGTGAAAGACAAACAAGTAAGCATCCCACCTGGAAGCTCACGCTAGCGCCACCTGCAGACTCCCCAAAGATAGTGATGTTGTCTGGGTCTCCTCCAAATGAACGGATGTTCCTGTGAACCCAGGCGATGGCAGCCTGCTGATCCCAGAGACCGTAGTTTCCTGTCGAAGGCCATACAAAAAGGATTTGAAAATGTTTTTCGAATTTTGCACTGCACTGTCGACGTGCTAACCAGTTGACCATCACATTGGTCTAAATTTGACAGCATTAATAAAAAAATAGTCAAGTTCAAACATTGTGACTGTAGCCTTGGTAGAGACAAGCTAGCAAGTGCAATGGCGATGAAATCATTTATTAGCAAATAATTTGCTAGCCTGGTAGCACTTAAATCCGTACCCAAGCAAGAGTTCACTTTTCAAAATGGTAGGTGACCCTGCTCTAGTACCTCAAGAAGAAGAAGAAAAATCACCACCTAGTACCTGGTAAACTAGAGTCTCCAGTGCTGAGGAAGCCCAAAGTTCCCACTCGGTATCCCAGAGTGACCACTATGACGTTTCCTCTATCTGCAATCTCCTGCCCATCGTAGAGATAATTATTCAGGAAGTTAGCACCCATCGACCCTCCAGCCATGAAGCCGCCTCCATAGATCCAGACCATGACCGGAAGATTGGTTGACACTAGGAAGTAAAGATAATTATAATTCACTTGGGCTAAATATGACATGCCGTATGGCAGAGGGGTGTCAAATACACGGCCCAAAAAGGTCGCCTTGAAGATTTGCTAATTACGCTTTGGGCGGCCTGTGCACGACAGTGCGTTAGGTGACTTGTTGCTGAGCACGGGCTCCTCTCATGACTTACCCGATCGGCCATGAGGAACCCAGATGTTAAGGTAGAGACAGTCCTCACTTCCTCTCGTGTCAGTCATGAATAAGGTCAACTGAAGGCACCGCTTCCTGTATTCAGTGGCCTTCAGAACACCTGATTATAGACATGTTAAAGTTAGGACATGGAACCTCTGTGGGGTTCATTACAGACAGTGACATCCATTTTTTTTGTTTTAATTTGTTCCCAAAATGAATTATGGACAATGTTTTTTTTTTGGTCTAAATTCAATCAACTCACCGTCCCAACCAGGATGACGCTGTGGTTTCTCAAACCTTCCGGGAATGTCGGCAAACGGAACCCCTTTGAAGATGTCCATATGGTGACGGTACCCAAGACGGATATTCTCGCCCTCCACCATGCCGCCCTCAGTGTACACCACCCCAAGCTAAAGATGCAAATGACCATGAATGTATTTTGGAAGTTTGTCAACAGTTAATAATCTCTTCATTTGATTCTGTCAGTCTGAATTCAATTTCACATTTGAAATATTTGAAATTGAGTATTTGGGAGTCTGTTACATGCATTTTATTTGCCATTCTAAAATATATGTATGAATTATTTTCTCAGCCTTCCTATGTATTGGTCAAGCCCCACTTGAGCCCCGGAGAGAAAAAAAAAAATCCTGGATCCGTGCTTGACTTTGGCCAAAAGGCAGGATACATCCTGGACTCGTTGCAAGTCAGTCACAGGTCACATCTAGACTTTCAACATTCTTTCTCAACCACTGACTCCATTAAATCTAATATATATTATCAAAAAAAAAGAAATTTTGTCACTTACAGAAGTGGCAGACACCATCTCCAGAAAAACAGCAACGGTGACCAAGATCCCCAGCTTCTCCATCATGACCAAACTGAGATCCTCGATGATTGGCCACTGCGCTTTTATAATGTGGACACTCCCCCGGACCCACCTATGAACGTGTGATTTGTTTTCCCTGCATTTGTAGTGATGTGGGGCAAGGGAAGTTGACACAGCTGTGTTTTTAACTAAAAGTCACACTGCAAAGTTAATCATCACACCCATAGTTTTATGAGAGATTAACAGCATCTCTTCCTATATACATATTTTGATGTCACATTATGCGATTTTGGCCTGAGACAAATAAATAAATAAACATTTAGGACAAGGAACCAGAACTAGAATGCATATCAGTCGAACAAAGACAACCCATTTTGCATTTTTCAATAACTATTTTGTTTAATAATTGTAAACACGTGGCCCGGTGGGCGACTGGTTTGCACGTCGGCCTCACAGTGCAGAGGTGCAGGGTTCGATTCTGACTCCGATCTTCCAGTGTGGAGTTTGCATGTTCTTCCCGTGCCTTTGTGGGTTTTCTCCGGGTACTCTGGTTTCCTCCCACATTCCAAAAACATGCATGGCAGGTTGATGGGACATGCTAAATTGTCACTAAGTGTGAGTGTGAGCACGAATGGTTGTATGTCAATGTGTGCCCTGCGATTGGCTGGCAACCAGTTCAGGGTGTGCCCCGCCTACTGCCTGATGACAGCTGGGATAGGATCCAGTACACCTGCAACCCTTGTGAGAATAAGAGGATTAGAAAATGGATGGATGAATTATCAACACTGGACAACAGCAAATTTTGATCAGAGATGGCTTTATGTGTCCTTAAATGTATTTTTGATGCTGATTTAAAAATTGTCTTTACTTTCTCTGTAGCACGTCAGGTTTTTGAAATATTTTCATTTTTTTGGTTATAAATTTGACCTATGAAAGCTTGTGCACTATGGATTTTATAGCACCTGTTGATTTAGGAAGTAACTGGCAGCAAACATTTTAAATTTTTAATATTTACACTGATGTCAAATGACAGTTTTGTAATTTACAGCAGAAGGGGTATGTAAACATTTTATATGCACTCTGTATGCAATCATACACCACAACAAAATTATCGGTATCCCCCCCAGCCCACCCCCTCCGAAAAAACAAGACAAAACAAAAAAACAATGGCCAGTGAAATATTTGAAAGGTCAGAGACTAAAGATTGAAAAGTTTTTCTTGAGACCTCTCGAAGCCCCTTACAATGCATAAATGTCAAAAAATGATTCAATCGTTGGTAGACATCACTTTAATCACGAAATACAATTCAGAATGTGTTGTCTGCGCCTTGAATCTTGCACCGTCTTGTCTTTGCGTATTTCTGGAGCGGGGACGTCACAAAAGACAATTTAGCGGCTGTTGTGTCACGCATGGAAATTGTACAGTTTTCCAATGATGTTACGTGCTGTTCGGCGACTAAAACATCATTTCTTGTAACCCTAGTGGTGGAATAAAGTAACTACACCCAATATGCCTCAGGCTTCTGGCTAGTTGGGAAAAACATTTGTTTTTAATCTGTGGTTGACAACTTGCAGGAAGTGACGTGTAGGTATTACAAAACATATTACCATTGAGAATATGAATTTTAATAGACTCAGAAAAATCGTTGGAATCTGACCTATAAAAATAAATACACATCAGATTTGCAGAAAATAAGTGAAAATCAGATATTGTTGTACTTTTGTGGTCCAACCAACAACAAAAACTAGCCTGAAAAAAATCTAGCCAAATAAAAAATAAAAACGGATTCTGTAACTCTCAGACATCTCCTTTTGTCCACAACTATTTTGTTCCACCTCTCAACTTCTCAGGTTTGAAGGTTGCTTTCTCCAGACTGTGTGTTTCAGCTCCTTTCAGCTGTTCTTCACAGCTAAATACATCCAACAACTCAAGCTAAGACCCATATTTTTCCATCGTGACCTTTCCTGAACCCTGATCTGAATTCTATTGCAGAAGGATCTGAAACATGCTGACAACAGACAGCTGGAGCAGTTCGCTAAACAGGAGAGAACCAAAATACCAGTGGACAGTTGCACAAGCCTCGTTGACGAAGAGTAATCACTTGTTTGCTTCAAAAGGTTGCATAAGAAAATGTGAAGTGGACCGTCATTTTTGTCCAGGTCAGTTTAATGTGTCAAGTTTTTTTTTTCCTACGCATGGATATAAACAATTTGACTCATTTATGAATATTACAGTTTTCTTTGGGTCAGATGAAAGCAATTTCATCCATACCTAAACTATCATAAAAAAAAAAACAATGTGGTCCACAATGAATGTGATACAAAACAAGCAACAATGTTTTTGTTTTTTTATTTCGAGTAGAAGAAAAAAAAGATAATTGGTATGGTATCATCATTTGTTACATGTAATCCAGTATTTCTGTCTCCATCTCATTTTCGCTTCCCTCCGATGGCTGATATTCATCATCCTCCTCCTCTTCATCCTCATAATCATCGCCTTCGTCATCCTCGCCGTCAACTTTTGAACTGCTGCCCGTTCGTCTGGGTCGCGTGGAGCTTTTTTGCAACGCTGCGGGAGAAATACTCTTCATCAATGGGCTACAAGTTCAGTCTTTTCAAAATACAGACGTGCACTTATTGAAATACATTTCAAAAAGTTTTGCATAGGTTTCCTCAGCTTTGTGACCCATCTTTTTTTAAAGCATCTATTAGGTTTTATATGCGTCTGACATTTATTACAACAGGCGGACAACGGCATCCCTCTCCAAAGCAGTAATTAATTATACTTGACATATTTAAGACAAAGACTACAGCGGTACACGTGCTTACTTAAAACTTTAATTATAAAATCTTATACGGTAATTAAAATTCATCAGCGTTGCCCTCTGAGGTATCGAGACTTGTGTTGGTGGCGTAGAAGGCGGCTTTCACTTTACGCTCCGACGGTGTAGCCGTCGTTAGCCTCCAGCTAGCTCCTGGTTAGCTATCCCCGCGCAGCCGTGTTTATGATAAGACAATTAATCGGTATCGATGAGGAGGAGACGAAGAGAGACGTGGTGCTGCTTTCGGACAAGCCCAATCACCCCACGCCCATCACCCCGGCACAGCGCACGGAGCAAACACAACAGAGGAGACAGTATGCCAGAGTCAACAGCGCGGTGAGGCACTCTGGAAGGTGCTGGGCGGGGCTGAGAAGATGCACAGCCAATCAGCTAACGGGATAAATCCACTCTGTGCAGTCATTGGTCGACGTACGCCGGAAACCAATCATATGCCTTGAATGATTGCCCGTTGCATATACATTACAGACAGGTAAACGAGTCATTCGGCATTTGTTTCCTGAATACAGTACAGTACTTTGGGGGGAAAAACACGATGTACTGAAGCCGGGATAAATGAAGCGCAATATAGCGAGGGATCACTGTATTTGCTTTCAATGCGTACTAATTCCCTTACGTGGTTTTTGTGCTCTGATAACCTTTTTGACCATGGCTGAGATGATGTCCCTGAGCTTGTCCGTGGTGCCCACAGTACACCAGCCATCGCGCTCATCGCACACTTGCTCCGTACCGCTGTTCTGCTTGATGACTTCCTGGATACTGGCGACAGACAGGAAAATCCAATCAATGAGCGTAGCTGCAATAAGGTTGCAGCTACGTAATGTACAGTAACTGTACACACACGTCAACAACAATTCTGATGATAATGATAATGATAAGAACACAGCAAAGCAGAGAAGTTGCATTGAAGGTGGCGGCTCAATGCTACCCTGAGGTTGTGGGGTGCTGCTAGGCCTGATTTAGTTGTTAATGCTACGGCGGTTAGTGCTTCGGTGTTTCCTGAGCTTATGTCCACTAGGGTGGTCCACATTTTCATGGCAAAAAAAAAAGTTTGTCGGATTCGTCGGGCCGGGTCGGAATTCTTGTCGATACTATGGTACAAGGTTCTGTGCAAAATTTCATTCCGATCTGATGATATTTTCCCGTCCCGCAAAGCGGCCAAAGTTTCCACCATAACAACTGGTCTCAATAGGGTGAACATGTGTATTTTAACCGTGTATTTTGCCATGCGTGACACTGGCTGGGCTGAATGTTGCCCGAACGATCACCTACTGACTAACTAACCATTCCATCGCTGCTCTCAGCAGCCGGAGACAAACTCAAACGCACGCCTAACACACAACGGTCACCTACTGGCGAGCTAATATCTTTCAATTGAAGTCGAGAATCGCCGGAATTCTTACTGGACGCTG